GAGGGTTAATCTGGACAAGATGGGAGTGCTGCTTATGCATAAGAAAACCAACCTAAAATCGGAATCAGAGCTTCTTCTGGTTGGGGTTGCTCTCCATCTGGTTAATAGCTTGGAGGTGCTCTTGGGCCCAGCACTGTTCCTGGAAAGTCAGTTTGTTATAATGGGTTTTATCGAATCTCATCTGCCTATTTTCAGCCCAATTTTGGTCTTTCCGTATCCCTTTGAATCTTTCCCAATTTTTTTTGTGATGCTGGCAATGCCCTTTGGTTTTCTATCATCTGCGAATTCGATAACCATCTCCATCTTCATACAGCTGTCTTATAAAAAATATTGCATAGTACAGGATCTATGGGGATCCCTGTGGCACTCTATTTACAGTATCTGAGCCACTTACTAATTATTGTTGTGTACTTATTTGCTTACTTACTACTTACTTACTTACTTAGGTGATCCCTCATTGTCCGAGTAGGATTGTCTTCCAAGATCAGTGTACTGGTGGAGGGTCTGTAGATGACTGTGGAGCCCATTTCTTGATCTGCGTGTTCTCCCACAGTGAGGGCATTAGTTTCCAGGTGGAAGGCGGTCCCGGTCGGGGTTGGCTTGACGCGCCTTTCTCTTGGCATGTTTCTCTCTTTCACCCTCCATTCATGCCTCTTCAAATTCTACAGCACTGCTGGTCACAGCTGATCTCCAGCTGGAGCGCTCAAGGGCCAGGGCTTCCCAGTTCTCAGTGTCTATGCCAGAGTTTTTAAAGATGGCTTTGAGCCCATCTTTAAATCTCTTTTCCTGTCCATCAACATTCCATTTTCCATTCTTGAGTTCAGAGTAGAGCAACTGCTTTGGGAGACAGTGGTCGGGATCCGGGCAACGTGGCCGGTTCAGCGGAGTTGATGGCGGAGGACCATCGCTTCAATGCTGGTGGTCGTTGCTTCTTCCAGCATGCTGAAATTTGTCCGCTTGTCTTCCCAAGAGATTTGCGTATAGCAGGATTGGGAGGACAATAACTTTATAAACAAGCACCTAGGTATCCCTACGGATGTTCCAGTCCTCAAACAATCTCTGCTTCATTTGGAAAAATGCTGCACTCGCAAAGCTCAGGCAGTGTTGTATTTCAGTGTTAATTTTGACTTTTGTGGAGAGGTGGTTGCCAAGGTAGCGGAAATTGTCAATATTTTCTAATGTTACACCAGTAAGCTGTATTTCTGGCATTGGAGAGGGATTGGCTGGTGACTGCTGGAAGAGCACTTTGGTTTTCTCGATGTTCAGTGGCAGGCTGAGCTTCTCGTATGCTTCTGTGAAGGTGTTTAGAATGGCTTGTAGGTCTTCTTCTGAATGCATACAGACATTGTCATCAGCATATTGGAGTTCTATAACAGATGTTGTAACCTTGGTTTTGGCTTTCAGTGTGCTGAGATTAAATAGCTTGCCATCTGTCCAATAGATGATTTCCACTCCAGTGGGAAGTTTCCCATCAACAAGACGAAGTATCATAGCGATGAAGATGGAAAATAAGGTTGGGTCAATAACACATCCCTGTTTGATACCTGATTCTACTTTAAATGGGTCACTTTGGGAGCCATTGCTGTCCAAGTCTGTTGCCAATATGTCATCATGGAGGAGCCGCAGGATGTTCACAAATTTGTTAGAACACCCGATTTTTTGGAGGATGGTCCAGAGAGCACTGCAATTCACTGTCGAATGCCTTTGCAATTTCTCAAATGATCATTGGAGCAGACGTAGTGCATCTTGTTGGCACCCAATTTTTTTGACCCCTGACGGCCCCATTTAAAACAAATGTGTGATTTTCTCTTTTTGTCCCTAAACCATGCAGAAAGTTCCCCAAATACATAAAAACTTAGGATACCCCCCTCTGAACCCCCTCTACCCTGCTGCTGCTTTAAGAGGGGCTATAAAGGAAAATTGAGGTATCTGGGACTTCTGTGGAGGGATACAGTCCCCAGATGAGTCTAACGACACCCTGACACTCACACACCTGCCTATGCTGGTTTCAATGTAATGGATTGTCTGATATTAATATTATCCAGGCCACAGCTACCATCATATCATAAAAGTTATGTTATGTGGTTTCAGCTTCACTAACACTGTGGGTTTGGGCCCTGGAGTGCTAAACTTCCAAAGGACCAAATAAGACACAGACTGGCTGTAGGCAAAATCAGAGGATTTATTCTCAATGGCCAGAGGGGAAGTCAGCAGAGATAGCTCTCCAAAGAACAGACTCCAATGCAAGCATGCAGAAATGTAGCACTTTGACAGCAGTTTCAAACAATGGATTTGTGCTGCCCTGAATGTCAGTTGGTCCAGGTTGTGGCAGGTTAGGGTTTGCAGGTTGGTTGGCTGGGGTGTGCTGTCTGTCATCGTTGCCGATTGACCTCCAGGTTTGAAGATAAATTTAATAAATTGTCATTGCTCAATTTGAAGTTTTGTGGCTGTTGCTGGTTATATCTCTCATGGGGTATGTGAAGGAAAGAAAGTGAAGGAAAGAACACTATGCTAATGATAGTAGTTTCCCCATCTTGGGTAGGTCAGTGAACCATGCTAGTGAAAATGAGTAGAAATGGGTGTCCCTGAATGGGTTCCCAGAAGGACAAAAGAGGATATTGGCAACTTCTGTGTTGGCAAGCTCTGGTTTGGCTCCATTGTTAGGTGTGTGGAGGCATTGTTATGGGATTATAAGAATTCTGTTATTTCCTGAAGTCCTAAATGTGATGAGGCAGGAGGAGAAGAAAAGGAATCCACAGCCCATTTAAAACAGATTATTATTTTAGTACAAGCTTTTGTAATAAAGTGGCACAGCAGGTTAAACCGCTGAGCTGCTGAATTTGCTGACTGAAAGGTTGGCGGTTCAAATCCAGGGAGTGGGGTGAACTCCCGCTGTTAGGCCCAGCTTCTGCCAACCTGGCAGTTTGAAAACATGCAAATGTGAGTAGGTGCCACTACTACAGGAAGGTAACAGCACTCCATGCAGTCATGCTGGCCATATGACCTTGGAGGTATTTTATTTATTTATCGTGTCAGATGCAGACCAGACAGTTGCATTGCATTTTTTAACAGACAGACAAACAAAGCTCAAAGTTTGCAAGCTTGGTAGTTGATTAAATGTCCTTTTACCAGTAGCTGGTGACTTGGAGTGCCTCTGCAAGAAGGCCCTCGATTGTGCATGTGGCAGGGCTCAGGTTGCATTGCAGCAGGTGGTCTGTAGTTTGTTCTTCTCCACACTCGCATGTCGTGGATTCCACTTTGTAGCCCCATTTCTTAAGGTTGGCTCTGCATCTCGTGGTGCCAGAGCGCAGTCTGTTCAGTGCCTTCCAAGTCACCCAGTTTTCTGTGTGCCCAGAGGGGAGTCTCTCATTTGGTAACCTTGGAGGTGTCTGCAGACCTTCAGCTTAGAAATTGAGATGAGCACCACCTCCAAGAGTCAGACACAACTAGACTTAATGTCAAGGGGAAACCTTTACTTATTTACAAGCTTGTGTGGCTTTCAATCAATTTCTATATTTGATAATATGGACTGATATTCACTAATGCTCATAATGAAGTATGGATCAGTTAGTCTTGAAGGAGCTGATATGTTCCATTTTCACCTGGAATTGAGGTGTCTGTAGTTCTCTGCTGTAGGTTATTTTAGGGAGCTTGACAATAGCATAGTTTAGGGGCCATGCCACTGCAACAAGAAGAAAAAAATCCCCTCCTCCGTGTTTTGCATTCTCGCCAATGCCTTTGGGGAGCACTTTATCTTAAATAACATCTGCTATGGGTGAACTTGAGTGCTAGTGTCACTCTACCACATGAATGTGTGCACCTGTTTGCAGCCTCTTTGCCATTGGACCAGTGAAAAATGGCATTACCAGATGTCATCCTGGCAGTCCCCCCTCTCCAATGCATGCTGCCAAGAGGAAAACAGGTGGTAGCAACATGGAGATGAGCTCTGTTTAAAATGCCTGCTGGAGGCAAGCAACTAAATGAAAAGGGATTTGGCAAAATCACCTGTGTTGTAATGCAGATCTTTTCCTCCTTTCCCTTCCTATAGTGATCCATCAGAAATCCCCACCCCACAAAAAAAGCTTTGTGTCACCCCATCACATCAGGGACATTAAAATCAAACTTGTCACCACAATATTTTTCCACACTTCTTCCTTTGAAGGACTGGAGAGACAGGGCATAGTGCAACCATCTGTTGTGATTTGTTGGTGGTCCAAGAGCCAGGCCTTCCTCAGTCAAACACCTATGGAGCAGAGAAGGCAGTTTTTCCTCTGTGTCCTATTGACTTTATTACTTTAATCACTCACATAACGAGAAACCTCTGAGTTTATATAAAATAAGCAATAAATCATACATACTTAAAAATATGAATGAAAGACTTTCATGAGATATGTTGTATCCCCATAAATGTCATTATTACAATGTATGTGAATGTCCACATCTCTCATAAGGGGTTGGTTTAACCTCTGGTTTGCTAGTAAAACTGGATTACTACGTTGTGAAATGATGTATGTCTAAAGTGTATCACCAATATGAAATATTTGGAAAGCTCCAAGCTAGGGTATCCAGGATAGTATACCAGAGGATCATCAAAATGCAAAAAGATGACCACCAGTTAGGCCCCAGTGAAGGTATGATATTCCCGTATGGGACCTTTGCAAGTCTTGCAGGCTCAGGCTCCTATAGGTCTAGATAGAATTACTTCCCAGCGATCTCCTTAACCTGCCCTGTGTCACCCCACCCCTTCAGAGCTTTACATCCCTACCTTATGAGTGTTTATTTACAATGAAAGGTTCCATAAAGAATAATGCCAGAGAAATGTAGAAGATGGAAGGAGATGAGTTTCACACCTCAAAACCAGCAACTCTTTTTGTATTTTTGTATATATTTTTTTGAAGGAGAAAATTAGCAATTGTTAAATAGTGGAGTTGGGATGTCTCCTTTGAATCCCAGCTTTATTCTGTGGGGGAAAACATAGTTAAAGCATTTGAGAACATTCCTTTAAACACTATGTGAAATTTAATGCACACAATAGGTTGGCTTTTATACAGTTCCATATGTCAGCTATGCCTTTATAAGAGGGACTTTATAACCCTCCCACCGCTGAAATAAAACCCTATGGTTTACTGATGTATTGATTTAAGAAAGATATTTTACTTGTGTTTCAATTCATACACAAAAAAACTGGTAACTAACAGTGCTTAAAAATATTAACACTACTCCACTTGTTCACAAGCGTACAAAAAATGAATAATAATGGATTTACATTCAACAGTAAAGCTTAATGTCCACGCTAGGTAATAGTTCCATTGACATTCACATACACAAGCACAGCATAAATATTTCAGGATACTTATAAGAGCATATAGCATACATACAGTACTTGAGTTTTACATAATAAGTGATAGTCGTAGGGTTATAAATTTATAAACTCATAGGTAAGTCAAACTAAAACCCAAGGAGGTCATGTGGGAGATAATAACACCAAGACACTGCACAGAGCTAGCAGGTTAGTCGATCTGCTTGTGTGAGAAAGGGTTCGCGTTCAGCTTCCTCGGATGAAAATTGGTTTACAAATGTTGTGTACTCAAAGTGCAGAATAAGTAATGCAAAAAGAGAAAGAGAAAATCTTGTATTTCTTAATGCATGCAAGAGGCAGACCCCCCTCCCCCAAACCAGTGACCTGACAGAATAAAGCTGTGATTGGCAGATATAATACAGATGTTTCAGGCATTTTTTCTAAAGCACTTCAATAGCAGCAGTTATATTTTCTAATGGCTGTAAATTGACTTCAGTTTGGGTTAAAGGAGACCATATTTCTTTTCTTTTCTTTTTTTGATTTACAGCTATATTCCCTTTATAAATAAAGATATCAAATCACAAGTAGCATAGATCAGGCGTCTTTGTTTTCTTTCTTTCTTCTTCTTTTTTTGTCCTTACTTTTGCATATGTTTTATGGAAAATACTCTGACCTTTTCAGAGACATTATGTGCAAAAGAATGTTAAATAGAGTGGAAACAAGGACATAAAGGAAACATCACAGTCTGTTACATTCCTGAGATGTCAGCCCTTCTTTCCCTTGTTTAACTCTGAGGGCATGTCTGCACAGTGGTTTCACAAGGCACTGGATGTGCCTTGGATGGAGATCCAACTCCCTGCAGTGCATGCATGCCAAGGTCTGGGTTGCATGACCAGTTCTGTCTACACAGCTGAATACAAGACGTGAGCAAGGGAATAATCCCCACTCCTGCAAAGTTCCTTTTTGATAGATATACGTGTGTGTGAGAGAGATAATTTCTCACCCTCCAGCACTGAGTCAAGAGCGTGGGAGGCTGCCATGCAGACGTTCCCTGAGGGACATCCTTGCTAGGAGAACAAAGGCCTTACTGTGGCAATATGGCCAATGGCTTGAAGAAGATATACTTCATAGTATCTCATAAAAGTCATCTGAGTGAGTCTTTCTATTAGTATTATTATTTTGCTGGAGTGTGTATATAAAATATATAAAAGCTCCAGCGTACTACACACTAGATTTTACGGATTATGAAAAAAATCGAATTGCAATTTTTAAGATAGTTGCCCAGGCCATACAGCATTGCACATTAATTTCCAGGAAACTTTGTTTGTGTTTTACAAAAACTCTTCTTGCATCGTATTAATCTGATCTCGCATCATCTAGCCATTAAATCAGCACACAAGAGTTTCCGATCAGGTACAGGGTGCACAATACCAAAAAAGTTAAGCTGCCCACCCCCACCCCATAAGTGTCATCAGAACAGGATCACAGGAACCACAATGCAAAGAGTCCAACCTCGCACTGGCTGTATTGTGAAGAGTCTCCTTTTCAGCGTAGGAGAAAAGAAACTTGTGTCTGCTTTTTAGATTCTGAAAACAAGCCAGAGTGGAGAAAAAGAGTTAACACCAGGCTTAATAAAGCTTTCAAGACAAAACCTGTTAAGCAATCTAGACAGACATTGTGAATTCCCTGCAGATTTTTGAAGTCTTGCACATACAGGGAACTGGTTAACAGTAGGAAGAAGTTGGGAGTTGCTACATAGGAGAAATCTTCCAAGATTACAAAAATTGGCTAAGTAGATTGTTCAGTATAAACCCCTCACTGGTCACTGTTGTCAGTGGTGCTGTTGCCCTTTTCTTTTTTCTCCTGAGCCTTGTTTCCCTTCTTCTTCTTCTTCTTTTTCTTGGTCTCCTCCTTCTTGCCAAAGGTTATGAAGTCACTTTTGTCAGTTTGGCTGTTTGGTGGGTCCTGGCGGATGGAGATGATTGCCGGAGATCCTGGGATAATGAATTTGTCTGGCAACTCACCGGGACCAGGCTGTTTGGAGTTGCCAGGTCCATATTTAAAGGTCCAGCTGTTGCTGTTCACTCCAGCTCCAACTGGAGGGGACACCTCACCGGCTTCGGGTTCTGAAAAAAGTCAGAGAAAACGTTAAAATTCTTTGACAGAAGCCATATACGCACAATGTACCTGCAGCATAGAGTATCATGGACTTGGGTTCTTCTCAAATAAAGGTCAAAAAAATGAGTCACCATTATTTGCAGAAAGGATTTGTCCCCTCTAACTGAAAAAGAAACATATTTGATACCATGTCAAAACACTGAAAAATGAAAAGTATAAAACAGAATCCTATGTAATAAGAATAGAAGCCAAATTCCACATAATTTGAGAGTTACAATTATTTTAGTAAATGCAAAAGCTGAAAAACATAATTACCTTCGCACTTCATTTCCACAACCAGAATCTCACATTGTACATCAAAGTAACTAATTTCTCAGTGAATAGAATTTTAACTCCATGGATCTTCAAAATAAGATCTAGCCCATAGAAAGTTATATCCAAGTAACTCCAATTGTGTATTTATTTATTTAAAACATTTATATTCCTCCCTTCTCAACCTGAAGGGGACCCAGGGCAGAGCACAACATATAAATGGCAAACATTCAATGCTAGGACATAAATAAAATACACACATACATAAACATTAAAATCAGTTATCTTGATGTTAAAATCCACTGTTTAAAGCCATCTCAATCATCCACATTGAATCTGGTCATGCTCTTTCTTCTTCACAAAAAGAAACACTGCTGTCTTTGAAAGCAGCACTTCAAAATGTGCAAGTTTGAAAACAAAAATGCAGCCACGTGCCCTACTTCAAGAAAGTCCCTTCATCAGGTGCAGGATAAGACAACAAGCTGTTGCTAGAACAATTAGTTAGTCTAGTGAGCATAGCTGATGCAACATTTTCAGCAAAGCATGGAACTGTAGAGTTAAGGGCCATCTATTGTAGGCCATGGCTAATGGCAGAATCCAAAGCTAAAGTATCTCTTACAGGTGAAAGTAGGAACATTTTCTCCCATGAACATCATGCTATTGAAATTGCAACAGTATGCTCATTCCTATACTTTCCCACACCAGAAAGCATCAAGAACTCTATGCCACACAAGAGGTACAAGACTTGAAAAATTCTGCATATATTAAATGTGTGGAGACATGTTTTTGCTTATTTAAACTGCAGCAATAGTGGAAGGAGCCACTGACATCCCAACCAGGACACAATGGAAAGAGGTTAATGCCATACTGTGATACCAACCAAAACATGCCCCCTCCATGAACTGTCCTTTGCCCTTTTTAGAAAGCTGAAATTGGCTCTACGAATAATTGCCTCCTAGTGCAAACAGCAGTTTCTAGAAGCAATGTTCAACTACACCAGTGTTTCCCGAACCCTGGTCATCCAGATGTTACAGACTTTAGCTGCTGGAATCCCTGCTCATTGGTGAAGGTAGCTGAGGCTTCTAGGAGTTGAAGCTGAAAATACCTGAAGAAACAGAGCTTGAGAATCACTGACCTACAACTGCATCAGTCGGGGCTGATTTAAGCGGCATACACTGATTCCTCTCTAGTTTCGTTCCCATCTCACATGTACAGCTACTTCCAGTGGGGTTCTGTGGCTAAACTAAAGTGGAACCGGTGTATGCTGCCATGGCAGTAACACAAGGGGCTTCCCATGTTGCATAGAGATCAGCTGGGCGGGGGGGGGGGGGGCAGACAGCAGATGCTTCCTTCTGTGGGATGGGGTCTAGGATAAGTTGGGTGATGCAGGGCGTAAGGTGAGGGGTTCTCCACACCTGCTGACATGCTGGGTTCGCCATGATCTGTGGCAAATCCAGCCATGAGGTCCTTAGACTGTAACTGGGGGGAAGGAATTAATGCCCCTTCCACATAGCCATATAACCAAGAATATCAAGGCAGATATCTGCTTTTAACTGGATTATCTGAGTCCACACTGTTATATATTTCAGTTCAGAGCAGATAATGTGGAATTTTATTCAAATAAAATTATTACACAATACACATAAAATTATTACACATATTTAAATAACAAAGAAGCATTGGATTTAACATACTGGTCATGTAATCTATCAAGCATGTCTACTCAAAAGTTTATGTCTACAATACAAAGTTACAAGAATGTAAGTGCCACTGAGAAAGCATGCACCTTATAAGTCCATTTTTGCGTGGGTGGTCAGGATATGAGTTTTTTTTGGATCATGGTGTTTAATCAGAGATCAGTGCCCCCAGTGGCGCAGTGGGTTAAACCCCTGTGCCAGCAGGACTGAAGACTGACAGGTTGCAGGTTCGAATCCGGGGAGAGGCAGATGAGCTCCCTCTATCAGCTCCAGCTCCTCATGCGGGGACATGAGAGAAGCCTCCCAAAAGGATGATAAAAAAATCAATTCATCCGGACGTCCCCTGGGCAACGTCCTTGCAGATGGTCAATTCTCTCACACCAGAAGCGACTTGCAGTTTCTCAAGTCACTCCTGACACGACAAAAAAAAAGTGTAATGATCAAAATTATTTTCTTCTTTGGCTGATAAAAAGATCCAACATCATTATGAAAGCCAGTTATACATGTCTAAAACTGTTTGATAGTTATTGTTTTCTTGTAACTTTGTTTTACTTCATACAAATTAGATTTATTTTGTGCATCTTAATTATGATGGTCTCATTTGGAGGGGGATGTTTTCCATTTGTTTTGCTTTTGCATAGTTTGTTAAATGAAAATCTTACTTTATTTTGTTAATGCTTCTTTGTGTGTGTGTGTGTGTGTGTGACACATGCTCCAGAAGTCACTTAAACACACAGGGTTCTGTCATAAATCTTCAATCCTCACTTTAACATAATTAAATATTTTTGACTGCAGATTGTGTAACTCGCTCACTTCCTGGGAATAATAAATCACACTGCTGAATGTTATGTTTCTTGGCATAATACAAATCATGATCAATCAATCCTCTCCTGCTGTGCAAAATGGAAACACTTATGTTCTGAATATTAAGTGTGCCCTGTCTGTCAGTTAATATTGCATTGGATCATAGCTTTTTTAATTGGCAACAGCAACCTTGACCTAGATCCACAGATTCTTTGCTTTTGCATCTGAACAGGATCAAAATGAAGTGAGAAGCCAAGAGAATAGGAAAACAATGGGAAGGCAGTTCATGAAGGCAGTTCATGAGTTGAAACTGTTTGTTCTTGTTAAAGCACTATTTGTGATCTCCATTTTCATTTAATTCCTTTGAGCCCCCAGTGGCACAAGGGGTCAAACTAAAGTTGAGCTCCTGTCTGTCACCTCCAGATTCTCATGCAGGAACATGAGAGATGCCTCCCACAGGATGATAAAACACCCGGGCGTCCCCTGGGCAATGTCCTGCAGATGGCCTCTCTCACCAGAAGCAACTTGCAGTTTCCCAAGTCGCTCCTGGCATGAAAAAAAATCCTTGGCATATTGTTTCTTTGCACAAGTTATCTGTCAGCAATGTTAAAGTTCATTTCTGAAGTAACAAGTAGTAAGTGATGTAAGTGATGTAAGCAGGGCCGTAGCCAGAAAAAAAATTCGGGAGGGGTTGAAATTTTCAGGGGGGGGTGTTGAAAATTTTCAGGGGGGGGTTAAAACCTGTCTTCTAGCTCACACTGAAGCAAAGAGCACAGCAGGGAGCAGAGCAGCCTTCAATAGCCTGCAGCTCCGCCCCTGTCAACCACCTCCACCAAGTCTGGCCTCCTTAGTGAGAGCATTCAACACACACACACACAACTTGGTTGCTTCACTACATCGACTATTGCTGCAAGTAATGACAGTGTGAATAAATTGTCAATATTTAAGGCCTTGCATGGTCTGGGGCCGATGTACCTGAGGGACTGCCTCAACCCCTTCCAACCCCAAAGATCCCTCCGTTCTGAGGACCAAGATCTATTGGAAATTCCCAGTGTCAAGACCTTGCGTCTAACAGCAACCAGACGCAGAGCCTTTACAGCAGTGGCAACATCACTCTGGAATACTCTGCCACCTGAAGTCCGTGCCTTGCGGGACTTATCAGCTTTCCGCAGAGCATGTAAGACATATCTGTTTCGACGGGCCTTTGATCTCTGATATTGCTGTTTTTAAATTGTTTTAAATTGTTTTAAAATTGTGTTCGATTTTAGCCTGTTCTTGTAAGCCGCTCCAAGCCCCAGAGGAGTGGCGGCATATAAGTCCGAATAATAAATAAATAAATAAACATTTGCTTGAGATAGTGCTTGTAGTTCTGGAGGGACTCTTAATTTTTTGCATCTCATAGACTTAGCATGGGGATTTGGTTAACCAGTTAAAATTCATGAGTAAACTGGGTTTTTTAAAAAAATCTGAAACATTTCGGGGGGGGGTTGAACCCCTAACCCCCCCCCCCCCCTCGCTACAGGCCTGGATGTAAGGATCAATACAGCAGGGAATGAGCCAAACCACCTGGCCAACACAGTGTAGTTACAGCCAGGGTGGGGCAGTTGTAGGGGGAATAAAGGAAACAAAGTACAACTCCTTTGTGTTGGTTGTTGGAGCTGGTTGCTGGAGCTGGATTGTTGGAAAGGTGCATTTGGAGGAGTTTGCTGGAAGGAGTTTGGAGTTCCAGCATGTATGTATATATGTTTTTTTAATAAACTCTGCAAAAGGCAATGACTGAGTTTGTTCCTTGGTCAAAGGCAAAAGGCTTCCGGTTCTGTGTGAGTGTCTACATTCATCTTCATTGTGACAAGCAAGACCAACAGTTAACTGTAAACTTGTCCTCCTCTAAGGCTGCATTCGCACTGTAGAATGAATGCTCTTTGTCACCACTTTAACAGCCATGGCTCAGTAGTATGGAATCCTGGGAGCTTTAGCTTGATGAGACAACAGCAGTCTTGAGAAGACAAGCATAAAGAGCTTGTAAAACTACAACTCCCATGATTCCATAACATTGGAGCATGGCAGTTAAAGTGATGTCAAACTTCATAAATTCTACACTAAAAAAAAGGGAGTGGGCGCAGCAGCTAATGAAGCATCCATGTGAATTATTGTTTCCCAGCCTTTATGAATCCATATTGTGATATGTTTGCCAC